TCAGTGGATATATGGTCTAGTGGGATAAAAATTACGTGGTGTAATTGTGTCAATGGTAACAAAATTTGACTTTGGCTCTTGAAGGGTAAAACTGGTGACAAGTTACTTGTGTTCAGAACGATAGCCAGTGTTTGTCTCTTGCCATAACATATACCCTAAACTAAAGATAAAAAAGGCTGTCCTCTAATCTCTTCAAGTCCATCCAGGCTTATAGATGTAGTCAAAGATTGAATTTCTGTTGATTCTGGTGATGTACTGTATTCTTGTATTTTTTTAGCGGAAGGTATGCTTGTTTTGAAAGCGCTGAAGTTCAATAAGCTCTTATGGTACTTGCCTAAACTACTTCCTAAACATGCCGTGAATATATTGAGCAATAAAGATGATGAACATCTTGAAAAACTTGAAACTGTGATGGTTGAAGAGCCGTGGACTTTTGGATTTTCTCAGGTATGGATGTAACATGTACATTGCTTTTACAGTGAAATCCACAGACTGGAGGTTATTCCATTGAAATTGCTCTGGATGTTGTTAAGATCAAATTAACTAATTACCTGCTTTGCTTAAACTGGCAAAAACAAAACAAAAATAATTAATTGTTTTAAGTCCTTTTAGCATGATCGTGAAAACTAACGTTATCTCGAAAGAATTCATTTCTTTCGCGCTCACGTTAGTTTTCGTGATCATACTAAAAAGGTTAAATTGACAATTAATTGTATTTTTTTTTGTAAAGCAAAAAAGAAGTCCTGACTTTGCCAGTCTAACTTTGTTTCAAAATATTGTTTATTACTTGCAGACCTTTGTCGATAATCTAAACATATTTACGTTATTTCTATGTGCAAAGTACAATGACACTTTAGACAGCTAGACTGTTGGTAATCAATGATTTTGTTTTTAAATATACAAGGTCATCAGTTGTTCTAATCGTACAACATCAAGAGCAATCTCAATAGTGAAATGTTTATTTTCACTGTAATGCTCACAGGGAATCATAATGCAATTGAAAAGATGAATAACTGGTCATGAGAAAAAATATTTTCTGTTTATTTTTGATGATATTTCATTCTTTGGTCAGTGATTAGGACATAACCTTTAGTAAAAGTTAATGTTATCATTATTGCCATAGAGGGCAACAATTTTGGAAACAATTTACAAGTTATTGTGAATAAACAGTAGATTACATCAACATAATACAAGTATCAGTTAATTTTATTTACCAGTGAAACTATAATAACAAAATTAAAACTCAGTACGAGTAAAGTAGATTTAATAGGCCTTTATGCGTAACTCCTAAAGATCAAATATTTGCTGATATTTTGTGAAAGCATTGTCATCCTCCCGTCAATTACACATCATTTTTGGTCAAACTGTTGTATTATTTATAGTAAATTTTCTCCCCCCAAAAAATTTTGAAAATATAAATCAAATTTAAATCATAATTTTGATCCACGGAGAAATATTTGTTTGCATTGTCGAATTGAGTTTGAAATTCAGGGTTTCATACATGTGTTTGCTTTATTAGTAGTGCATGCATTGACGTAAATTACATGTGTTTCTATGGTTGAAATAAGTAATATTGTAATGATCAATGATATTGTAATGATCAATGATATGTACGAATGATGATGCATACAAATATAATTTTTGGTTTGTATGCACTTTTATTGGAGATGCACTTCTGATAGGAATTTTTTTTTATTTAGTTAAAAGTTTCTTGTTATAATTCTTGAGTGAATGAGCTTTTTTGTTCCATAATGTACAGTTTGATGATTTCTCTCTTCACTATGTACAGATGCTTCGTCATTATCGAGTCATAGGTTGTGAAGCCACCCTGGAATCTTACAATCAGTGTGACCTGATAAAAGAAATGCCGCAGAATTCACAAGATGCCCTCTACATATATCATGTTCTGAAGTTCAGCTGCCAAAAATATGGTCATACGTTCTTGTTTGAGTTGTCTTTGAAACGGAGCAAAGCCTTTCAAGGTTACCGTGTGAAAAACTGGAAAAAAGCATACGAGTTTCTAGAAGAACACAACGTGATTGTACGAGAGGAAAACCGAGTTTACCTAAAGAGATATTGGTGCTGTGAAAGAAACATTGCAAGATATTTAACAAAGTTACAAGCAAACGGTAAATGGGAGATAGAATTTGACTGGGCAGGTCATCTCGATTTTCAGGATGATCCAGAGCAGCAGCAAGCAGCCAAACTGATGTGTCTTAATCCAATCACAGTGATGTCTGGCAAAGGCGGGTGCGGCAAAACACATGTGGTGAGCATCGTATTTAAAGAAGCAGAGAAAAGGTTTTTGAAAATGAATGAAGAGGAAACAGGGGAAGATGATGTTTCCAAAGAAACTGAGGACTTTGATGGAAAAAATGTTGATGAGAGTTACGAGCAAGAAGTTGATACGCCAAATGAGAAAGATGAAAAGAATGACTCGGGTCCCAAAGGCCCGCACATACTTCTTACGGCACCGACTGGTAAAGCTGCATCCTTGCTTGGTAGACGAACCAAACTACCATCGTTTACACTTCACCAAGTTATGTACAGCTTTTACCATACAGAGAAAGATGAGTACGGTAAGCCAAAGGATTGGAAATACTCAAATGTCCATGCTTTGATTGTTGACGAGTCCAGCATGGTCTCCGTACAAGTCTTTTCGACAGTTCTCAAGTTTCTAATGGAATACTCCAAGTTAGAAAAGATAGTTTTTCTCGGCGATATCAACCAACTCCCATCTATTGACCCTGGCAACTTTTTAAGTGATCTGTATAAAGCGTACTCGCTTCTTGGATGTAGCATTTCTCTTCTAACCAATCATAGGACAGAATCAGCTTTGATTGTGAAGAACGCAACTCAGATCTCAAACCAATGGATGCCTGTGTTTGATTCCAACCATGGTTTCCATGAAGTGACGGTAGACAGTATGAATGATGTTACCATGGATACTTCAACGATAACGCCAACTCAAGAGGAGACTGAATCCTTCAGTAAGTGTCTGGTCATACATGTAATATTTCACCGGGGTATTGTAATCGTTTTCACTGCCAGTGATGTAATTCAAGGGTATTCACTGACTTGATTTTCAGTGCCATAACTTTTTTTCATCTATTGTTTACACATTTTTGTGCTTTTTTCTGTATCTTCTTTCCAAACTTTTGGGAAAATGGACATAGTTTCCAATTGGTTACAAGTCTACATCAAAAAAGTTTGAAAAAAATATAGAAAAAAAAATCATACAGAATTTAACGTTTTGAAAGTTTGTCTAAATATCCCCAGTAAAAATTTTACCACATCAAATTTATTCTGTCTTGCAAAAATATTTCTCGCGCAAAATAAATATATACGATACATGTATATGAAATTCTGAAACAATTTTATGCAACAGTTACAGGGGGTTTTCTAAACCAGGGAACAGGGGCGCAGCGCCCTGATACTCTCGGCTGGTGCCCTCTTACAGACTGAACTTTAAAGTCATAAATATATTTCTTGAAAACTTCCCAACAAAACCAGCTGACAATGTATCTGGACACCAAATACACTAAAATTACCCCCAAAATATTCCAATGGCGATAGATACACCATTAAAACGGTGCAGAAACCTTCTGATATGGCGTTTTCTGTGCTAGCTACTCTAGCTCAACTCCCTCGCCTGTGTCTGCTCCCTCTTGTTCATTTTTTCTAGAAAAACCCGAGTTAGATATCAGAGTCCTGCAAAGAAATCCGAAAAGAATCAACATGCATGGCAGATTTTCATAACTTCGTTTTGATTTAACTCCTAAGGTATTGATGAAGCAGTTAGAAGATTACTCAGACAGAAAGATGAAAGTCTTCAGGACCATACCAGATCACAGTTTGTCGCGTTTAGACGGTAAGATGCGTGAATAGTCTGGGTCACTAGAAAAGATTCTTTCTACTTTGAAATGTGAGAGCAGCCCTGGTATGTCTGATTTACGGGTAAATGCAGACTGAATTTCTGGATGACTCTCTGGCCTAATCTTTGAAACAACTGTCAGTGTTTTAATTTGTTATTTTGTTGCAACTTTGTTGTCAGTTATCTTGATTAGTGACGCAGTGCAACAAATCTTGTACGTATGTTTGATGTATGTTTAATTATAAAAGCATCTGGGTACGAACGATGTACCAATCTAATATGAAATTAGTTTTAAGCAATGCGTCTTAGATTGCTACATGCTAGCTGCAAATATTAATCAAATACTGAAGAACACCAATTGTACAAACTCTCAGTAAATTAAATTTTACAACAACTCTTTGTATTTCAGGAATGACTGCGATAGAATTAACGAGCTCTGCTGCAAACACTACGCAGGTCACTTAACGAAAACTGCTAAAAACAGACTAGATTTCCGGGAAGGTGACAAGATATGTATGACTAAGAATGCCAGTGTGTTTGACATTGCTACTGAAAGTCCTGTCAGACTCTGCAATGGAGAGATCTTCTTTATAAAGGAAGTAAGTACCGGTAATCAAAACCCAGTCTGACTTTCATTTCAACAGCACCTGGCTGTGCACATATGAACGCCACCTAGACACCTGGCTGTGCACATACATGTATAAACGCCACCTAGACACCTGGCTGTGCACATATAAACGCCACCTAGACACCTGGCTGTGCACATATAAACGCCACCTAGACACCTGGCTGTGCAGATATAAACACCACCTAGACACCTGGCTGTGCACATATAAACGTCACCTAGACACCTGGCTGTGCACATATAAACACCACCTAGACACCTGGCTGTGCAGATATAAACACCAGCTTGACACCTGGCTGTGCACCTGTAAACAGTACCTATAGACAGCTAGTTTGTGCACCTACGAATGTCTTCCAGACAATTGAAAATTGCCATAAAACACAGCTCTAGACTCTAAACACACATTAATGGAGTGGTATTTTGATTTATTTTTAGTATGTGGAACAGAAAGATGCAAAGAACCGAAAAACGAGCAAGGTGACACTCGATGATGGCGAACGGTCTGTATGTGTAGATTTTGGTGAAGTCAAAAGGAGATGTAAAGTAAAACATGCATGGGCCAGAACCATACATACCTACCAAGTAAGTTTAATTGTAATTGTGAAATAATTCAATGGAACATTTACTGATAATTTTGGCAAACTGACTGCAGCTACAGCTAGGAACGCTTTGTTAACTCGCTTTGCCATTGAGACAAGAAAACATTCTACTAACATCAAAGAAAATATGTTTCCGTTGATTTCATGTAGCATTTTGTTATTTTAAACAAACATGAAAATCTTGTACCTCATAACATAAAACATCGTAAAACTTTGTAATAACATGTTTTTTCAAGTACAACTGCGAAGAGTGATGTACTTTTCAGCTCCCCTGTCATCATAGATATAGGTGAATGTCAGTCGTTGTCCGTCAACAATTACTTTTTTGTCTTCTTTTAAAAAAAAATACCAGTCCGATTGCTTTGATATATGTAGGTACCTTGGGTAAATCTCTATCACTAGTTCTCTACGTTCATGAAATATTTTTGTCATTTTTGATACAAAATGATAATTTTCAACTTTTTCTACATAATTTTTGTGAACAATTTATTTAATAAAGTAAAATTGGCATGTTCTTAATAGCTGGAACCAAACTATTTTATGGTTGTACTTGACTTGGCTACCACAATGTTCTTGTAGGACAGCTAGCAGACTTATCTCAAACGCTTGTTACAGCATCCTTCAATAATTACTTCTTGTCATCTATCTCTGTAGGGCTCTGAATCGGAAACCGTTATCTACCTGGTCGGTGGGAAATCACCGTATCAAAACTGGCAACATGTTTACACTGCTGTTACGCGAGGCAAGTGTCAAGTCTACGTGGTCAGTTCGAAGAGCCAACTATGTAGTGCTATAAACAAGAAACCAGACAAGCGAAATACACGGTTATATGCATTGTTGTCTGAGAAACAAACAGATGGGAGTGAGTCAGTGAACGATCAAAGCTGTGATTCCAACGTCTCAATGGTACATCGGAAACGTTTGTTTGCTAAAGACTCTGAAATGGACACTGCTGATTATGGTTGCATGGCAACGACTGGTTCAAGCTACTGGTCAGCGAGACCAACTGGAGGCAAGTTTGGGATTGCAGGAACTTTGTCACAGACACAGAATGTAGAGGTCAATAGTCAAAGGTTAGAGGCCACAGGTGACAAATTCCCAACTATAAATGCAGAAGTGCAAAATGGTGAAGATTGGGACGAAGATTGGAGTGATGAGTTTGGAGACAAACTTTTAGCATTTGAACAAACGTTTCTTTCCACACAAAAAGAACAAGCTGCATCGTCTTCCATTTCATCTGCCAAATTAACGAATGCCAAGGAAATTGATCAGAAACTGTCAGCTAAAAGCAATCCAGTACAACTACCTGCAAAAACTCAATCTAGAAGTTTTCGTGATTTCAGAGATGTAACAACCCCGACCAAGAGGTCAATTTTCTGCGAAAGGAATACGCAAAAGTACCCATCAAATCTTTGTGAAGTAAAAGCAAGTGAAATTGCTTGCACCGAGTCATCTGAGGATAGCAGCTCTGATGATGAATCAATTTTGACACCATCCAAAGGCAGAGCCCTGTCAGGTCAAAGTTCATTACCAATGACACCCACCAGAAATGCATTATCATCTCTGATTCTAAATTCACCGAGTCAGTCACAGAAACGTGTTGCAGACGGAAACATCCAGTCACCTCCTAAAATTAAGCGACTATAATGTAGGGGAGTGTTGATGCAACAATTACTGCCATGTCATCAAATTATACTGAATGTATGTACTTATAAGTAAATTCAAGGTATTACACTACTAATGGATAGCTGACATATTTGCAGCCTTCATAATTTGTTTGGACCTAATGTGAATAAATTGGTTACAGTTTTTTGACAAGATTTGATAACAGTCAGGTCTTACTGTGTGAAAGGCATCAACAAATAACAATGGACCATTCGTATTTTTAGGGAAACTGGAAGTTTGTAAATTTCCATGGTGTTCATCTCAGTGGCATATTTCTTTTTTTTTGGGGGGGGGGGGTTGTTTTCACAGTAGTTTTTCAGCAATTTCATGATTCAAAATGCTAAACAAAAAAAATATCACATAAACTAACCTAACTGCCAGTAGTTCTTGCATTATTTAGAAAAACATAACGAATTTTACATACAAATGTTTGAGGGTTTAAATGCATTATGGATCATACTACTAGTGGTTAAATTATGTTTCAAATTGTTATTTGTAGATGTTAGCTTTTAAATATAAATTATTCGTTTAATGATAGATTAAATAGTACTAATTTGAATTTATCACGCATGCGCAGTTACGCATAAAACGACCATTGGACGATATGGCAGTGTGGTTCGATGTTTCAAATTTCGCACTGAAAATTACAGTATAACAATTGTTTTGATAGAATATAATGCCTGATGTGTATTTGTGATTACATGGGCGCTGTCTTAATAAAGTAGTGTGTGTTATTGGACGAATTGAACACTTGCTGCGCTGTTTTATTGCACGAACTTGGCACTGACAGGCAACAACCAGTGGCTATATTCATAGC